AGCTTGACACTAACCATTGGTTTAAAGTCAAGTATTTCAAAAGGTCTCTAATATATGAATAATAATTGAAATGGCCATATAATAAATTGAATTACTAAATATTATAGATAAGGTTTTACTGGTTATAGATTATAAAGGTTGTTTTTGAAACTTCTCCATGAAGTTATTTTAAAATTATATTTGGCATATCATCACACTACAAATAGCAATTCAACATACATTCTGATAGTATGTAGAATTTATAACATATTTATGCAGCAAACAATATTACAAAATTATTGTAACAGAAAATACAAGGGCTATGTATACTTGATTTAATCTAAATACAAAGTTTTTTTTTTTTTAAGTAAGATAGATGTGGCCACAAAAATAAACTTTGTGTTTTAGTTTTGATCAGTGCTTCTTAAGTACTCTGAAAATATGAGAATCTCAGAATGTAGTTAAGAAAAAACATACAAAATTTTGCATCTCATGATGGAAATGAGTACATAGTAAAGTAGAAAAATTCTACAAAGGTGAGATTCTGTCATCAATTCATACAGAAAGCAAGTTAATAACAACTATCAAGTTTTAAAGAAAAATCATAAAGGAAAAACAGAATGGTTATTAGAAACTCAAGAAAAAAACAAAGTTGTAAAGGACAAGAAAAACATGATGGCATAAACCCACAACTGTAAAATAAAAATGAAATCATTTATGAATATAAATAAAAAGAGTAGTATAATTACAAAGAAAGGATGGATAAGACTAATATTGAGAATAGAATTAAATCCTCACCTGTCATCACTATATGTGAATAATACCTAATACTCAAAATATCATAAAACAGCAGCATATACTTTTTTTTTTAGAAATGTAGAAACATCTATTAGTAGAAACAATATAGAAAATAATGACCACCTTTGAGGAGTAGAATTGAGGTGAAGAAAGGAAGCAAGGGAATGATTTTTTTTTTCTTTTTGTGGTGCTGGGAATTGATCCCATGTAATGTTTTCCATAATTTCTCTTAGTTATATGCCTATATGGTCCAAATTGTACGAAAATACACAGATAGATCAGATGATAATGATGCTTACTTCTAGATAAAGGGGTTTAAAGTAATTTTATGTTTTTCTTTATATATATCTGTAACTTCTAATGTTTATTATAATCATTTACTATCTTTATGATCAGAAAAATGCACATCAGAAAATATTCATGACATTAGTTTTATAAACAAAAACTCTAATAGATTATTGAATACAGAATAAGACAGAGGCATTCTGAGTACTGATGCTTAATGAAAATACAGATGACACTTTTAAAAACTCAATCTGAATGAAATTATGGAGATGTTATTGATAAGAAAAATTAATAGCTGGTGTTAATATATTTGGATTAAATATAATACTAACAACATTCTTAATACTTAGATTCCAACTTACTCTGGATCTAAAGTTTTCTTGCCAAAGGGACCAAGTAATTTTTTTTCTGCGATCTCCAATGCTCTCCATGCTTTTTCTGTAGTAAACAGCTCAGGGGCCTAATGAATGTCAAAAACAAACATACAACTTTTTCACATCACAGAAGAATTACTTTCCACCTACATATACAAATCATCATCTTGAAAAAGAAT